GCAATTGAACATCCCACTCACAATTGAGGACTGCTAGCTCCCAACTGCTCGCCTGCCTGCTTTCCTGATTGCCCCTACCTGCTTCTGCCTACCAGCCTGACCACCCCCTAAACACTCCCCTGCAGGCCTGAATGATGCCTAACTGCTCCCCTGCCAACCTGTTTGCCCCTACCTGCCCTCCCCTACAGGCCTGGTCACCCCTAACTGCCCTCCCCTACAGACCTGGTCCCCTCCTAACTGCCCTCCCTTGCAGGCGTGGCTCCTCCCAACTGTCCTCCCCTGCTGGCCATCTTGTGTCCACATGGGGCAACCATCTTGTGTGTGAAGGGTGTCCCGGATCAGGGTGGGGATTCCTTTGGGGCATGGGACGGCCTGGGCAAGAGGTCTGTGGTGGTTTGCAGCCAGCCACACCCCCTAGTGACCCAAGAAGAGGCCCTAGTATCTGGAATTTTTATTTATCTTCTATAACTGAAACTTTGTATCCTTGAGCGGAGTCACGCCTCCTGCTTGCTCTGTGGCTGAGGCCATTTTTGTTGGGATTTATTTATCTTCTATAATTGAGACTTTGTAGCCTTGAGTGGAGGCCAAGACAAGCCAGGGAAACTGGAGCTTGGCTTCCTCCATCGCTGGAAGCAACTCAAGCCTACTGCTCCCTCCAGCTCCATGGCTGCTGCCATTTTTGTTAGGACTTATTTATCTCCTATAATTAAGACTTTGTAGCCTTGAGTGGAAGCCTGGAGCAGCCAGGATGTGCAAAAAGCTTGGCTTTCTCCATTGCTGGGGAAACCCAAGCCTCCTGCTCTCTCCGTGACTGCAGCCATTTTGGTTGGGTTAATTTGCATACTCACTCCTGATTGGGTAGTGGGCGTGGCTTGTGGTGTGGAGTGGTGGTTAATTTGCATATTACTCTTTTATTAGATAGTATGTGTATCGTTGATAGGCAGAGATTTTGTATTTGATTCTTAGTTTACTCTGCCAGTATATCCAATGACAATTTTTATTCCCTATTATGTGATAGTATTTTTCCCTACATATATGAATTCATGACAGCTCTACTTTCTCTACCACATCCCCATAATAAAACTACCTTTCATAACAATAGTTTTTCATCTTACATATGTATTTCAAAATTAAATCACTAGTTTTATATCATTTATTCCAGTCACCTGCACTGATCTTTCCTTTTGTACTTATTTTTTTATAGTATCATCAATTAAGTAGAATATTTTATGATATCCCTCATTTAAGAAAAAGCCTCAAATTATAACAAATACTGATAACCAAGAGACAAAATTTAGTGATTAGAAGCATGGGTACTAAAATAAGATCTATGTATAAATCTCAACTCTGTCCCTTAATATAATGCATGTCTTTGGGTTGCTTAACTTTATCTCAGTTTTCTAGTTTATAAAACAAGAATAATTGTGCTGACCTTATATAGAGTTGTTGGTGGAATTTAGTTATTATACTTTAAAATGCTTAAATAATGCCTGGTCTAGAAGTAAGAGCACCTTAAATGCTAGCTATTATCAAGGCCAATATTTAGTCACAAAAGTAACTTTTATAATGTCTTTCAATCAATGGTACTCTTTAATACCTGATGTTCAAAAATGGAAGCCCTAATGCATTAGATCAAAAATTAAATTACATTTAGAGTGAGCTAGACCAGCACTATCCAACAGAACTTTCTGCAATTACAGAAATGCTTGTGTGCTATTCAATAAGATAGTCACTAGCATATGTGGCTACTAAGCACCTAAAATGTGGCTAGTGTGATTGAGGAACTGATTTAAAATTGTACTTACTTTTAATTAATTTAAATTTAAATAGATGCACTAGGCTAGGAGCTACTGTATTAGACAGTAAAGCTTTAGAAGATAAGCCAGAAAAGTTCAAAGTACATTTTAGAAAAAGTTTCTATAGTGGTCAAAATTAAGAGGGTTTCTCATTGGCCTTCATTTAACTGAAATATGCTAAAAACTGAACATGAGAATATATTTTAGCAATTCCAAAAAAGTTTGATAAAGATGATGATAAAATATGGCAATGACAATGCAAAAGCTATTTCTGTCTCTGTGTGGGGCAGACCTAAGAGCATAAAATTATAAAAATAAACTTATAATATTAAATGTCAGCAACATCCTTAGCCTGAAGGCCAGTTACAAACCTGATACTCAAGAATCTAAGAATTTAGGAAAAATAGGAAAAAAGGGGGAAAGAAATCCTCTTCTCACATGTTCTTGAGTTGAAGCAAAGAATACAAAATTTGTCCTCTTTTATTCTAAAAAAAAGATGATTTTTGCTTTCTACTATTGAAAAATGGAAGAGAAAAAAGATGCTAGATGCCTTATGTACATACTTAATCACATGAATCCTAACAGACCAGTGAGTAAGCATTAACAATCCTGTAACAGCAAAATTAGTAAAAGTGGAGTAACTTGTCCAAGATCATATGAGTAACAAGTGGCAGAGATATGAACCTGTATCTATCTGATTCTAAGATACGATATATTATCAGAGCTGCCGTATTAATTCCAAACCCTGCTACTAGAAATAAGGCAAGAAGCCTTAAAACAAATCTAACCTCTTCTGGTTGTTCTAAATTGCAGAGTCATCAATATCAACAGGAGGAAACAGATGACATAACACATGAGCTTCTCTGGTGCTAAAATATCCGTGTTCCCTATCATATTCTAAACTGATACACTGGGTTAATAATAAAAGGCATCTTTAAAGAAACATAACAAAAAAGAAAAAAAATGAGTATAAAAAAAAGGGGGGGGTGAAAATAGAAAAAGATAACAAGAGGAAGAAACCTCATGTAGAAGGGGTATATGTCACCAGAAACTAAAGTGCTGATAAGCCAGTATCCCAGGCTACACACACATATAAACCATAAAATAAATCCTCTAGTAAATGTTAGCCAATTTACAAATGCAGAAAAGGCCCATTTTAACAAGTCCCCCAAAATCATCAGATTTTATTTTGCTTTCATCAAACCAAATTATGAAAAATAGTCTATTGCTACAACATGTGAAAGATGTTACATACATACTAGAGGCCTGATGTACAAAATTCATACAAGAGTAGGCCTTCCTTCCCCCAGCTGTCACCACTGGCTGCCCTCTGACACCCAGGACCCAGGCTTCCCTTGCAGCCTCGGCTTCATCCAGAAGGATATCCAGTCTAATTAGCATATTACACTTTTATCATTATAGATATGTATACACTTGCCTGAATAAAGCAAATGTTCAAGGAAAACTTTTGTGTGTTTTTTAGTAAGCTTTTGCTCTTACTGAATCTTACTTTGAAATAAAAATACAGGTACACCTCAGGATTCAAACCTATCTTATGCAAACTCAGGAACCAAACAGATTCTGCTCAATTATTTTAAGATTCTACTGTTTGATAGAAACTGTATCTATCATTATCTGAACTCTCACTCTTGCTCTCCAAAACTCATGAAATGAATAGATATAGATTATCCAGTATTTGCTATCAAGACATTATTCAAACTCTGCATATGAATGTAGTAGATTCAAATTAAAAGACATACTTGTGAATCTTATATAAATTTTAATATAATTTCACATCCTATATAATAAAAGGCTAATGTGCAAATTGTCCCCTTAACCAGGAGTTCAACCAAGAGTTTGACCAGGGGGCAACCCTCCATCTGTTTCCATTATAGGCTGGAAGATGCATTCTCAGGGAAAGATATTATAGCATGGAGTAAAGTTTCTTACTAAGGAAAAAGAATAGCCAGCTTTGGTCAAGTGTGTAAACACTAAACAGGCAATTTCACTTTTCTAGACAACCAGAATTTCTTTCCAGCCTAAGGATTCCTTGGCTTCACATTCATGGCTTTAACCATTTTGTATCCCTTCTTTCTCTCCTCTGCCCTCCAAAGCTAGGCAATTTTAGCTCTCTTCACCACTCTGTTACAGCCACACTGACCTCCCACACACAAGACAAGTAAGTCTCCTGCCTTGGCCTTCCTGAATTCCCTCTACCTGGAATGCACATCTTCCATATACTATCCAAAATAAGATTCATTCCATCTCTCTTTCAGGTCTTCATTCAAATGTCACCTTTTCAGTAAAGCTTTCCATAGCTACTCTATCTTAAAGTACAAAAGAAAAAACAACAACAAAGAAAAATGTATTTCCTATTCCTCTTTATTTTATTTTCACCTTAACCCTTAGTCACTAACATATACTTCTTATTTATCTTGCTCATTGTCCCTTCACCAGAATGTGAATTCCATAATTATAGAATTTTTATCTTCTATGTTCACTTCTGTAGCCCAACATTTAGAATAGTGCCTGAGTACATATTATGTGCTCAACATGCTGAATGAATAAATGGTACTACTACCTGCAATACTACACACAACTGGTAGGTGTTGCCAAAAACACTTCATATGCTAGTCTGAAAGATTTCAATAGAGTAGATTTAGGTTATTTTATCAATCTGTACTCTGGGAACTGCAGCAATCCCTCAGGGATAAATGTGAGGATTAAAAATGGTAACCTAAGCAAGCAGAAAAGTCCCACATTTATCTGTTTTATTCACTGGATTTCACATAGAATTTAATTTGTAAAGGATTTGGCAACTTCAAAAAATCTAAAACTACTGTGTTGTATATAACTTAGTTCCTAAGTTCTATTTTACATTAGGTAACATGTTTACCTAGGTAACATATTTACATTCTCCTTTAGAAAGAGGTTAAAATTAAAAGTAGCATCTAATTTCATTTAATAATCTGCTACAAAGGCAACCAATATTTACTTTGTATTTTCTAATTCAAACAAGGGATTAGATTTTAAAAAAAGAAATAACAAAGTATAAAATTATATTATTTCATGTATAAGAACATACGTAAATTCCTCAAGTAGAACTTAAGATCCAAATCACATTACCACAAATATTTCTGTAAATAAAAATATCTCCCAAATAAAATGTTACATGCTCCAGTAAAGAAAAAGAGGAGCACTCACCTTAATGAAGTTACAGATGGACAAACCTGTCCATACAAACCCATCTGGCCACAAAGAGAATCTGAAAAATAGAGAAGAATTATTTATCAGATGCTCCAAAGTAAATGAAACTATAAACCATGTTACAATTCTAATTAAAATATTCTGAAAGCTCATAAAAATTTAACAAATTGTTATGCTTATGTTATACAGAGTGTCCAAACTGTTTAGCAGAATCCCAGGGGTTCCTAAAAATGCCTAAAGGCTACCAAAGAGTTGAACATGCAGACTCTCATTTCTACATAATTGTCCCCCACCCATCTACTCTTCAATTTAAGTAGTGCTATCCTTTTTGGCTTTATATCCGGACTTCACTAAGATTCACTGAAATAATTCCATTGCTTTAAAAAAAAAAAAAGTTAAGAACAGCACTGAAACAAAGTATTGAATAAGACAGTTTTAGGGTCAAATTCTAACTGTGACACTGAGACCTTAAAGAATTTATATAAAACCTCACTGAACCTCAGTTTTTCATCTGTAACTTGACAGTAATACCACCCATATATCTTTATTTATTCATCAGGAGTAAATTGCAGGTTTGATGTAAGAATTAAGTAAATCAATGAACAAATGTGAAATTGTCTATAAGCACTACTACTGGGCACAAGGATGATTCACAAATGTCTACAGATAACATGAATGAGAGAAATTGGAATAAGTATGTGTATACATATGCATACGTTACACAACTGGTGAAGATTATGAGCAACTAAAGAAAACATGTTCACTCTGAAGAAATCAGCTGCTATTCCTAGTTCTAGAAAACTGTTACTAAACAGGATTGCAAGCCCAATATTGTAAGGTCTCCTAATTTTTTCAAGAGAAGTTATCAAAATTTTTATTTAAATCTCCTGATTTTTATTTTCTTAATGCTATGTGGACCAAACAAACATTGGATTTTGTCCCAAGTTTATAACCTTTGATTTAGAGGCTTACTGAATTCCCTGCATCCAACTGTCCCTGCATGCCCTGAAGACAGACAAAACATTTCTATTTCTGCCAGAAGGACAGAATAGATAGCTTGATCAACATGCCACTGAAAATAACAAACACTAGATAAAATATTTTTAAAACTTTAAAATAACAAACAATGGATAAAATAAAGCATGATCAAGGCCAAAGACTAAGAAAGGAAAATCAGAAAAGTATTCAGAGAAAAGAAACTGGCTTTCATTCACCTTCAGGGCATTTTGCCAAACCCAATGAATATCAGCTTGCAATTCCAAAACCTATTGGGGCCCAAGGTACAGAGGCAAAAGGCAAAGTCCAGGTGTTACCCAAGAGAAGTGCAAGGAAAACTGCTTCTTACTCTTGGCATTGAGTGCTGGGGAAGGAATGAGGGGCCTAGATAGCATTCAACAGAATTTCCCCTGATATTCACAACAATAAACTGACTCTCACCTAATTATGGTTTAAAAAGCTTTGTATTTAGAATTCTGTTTAGGGTAGTTCTAGATTGGTAGTGTCCCCCACCCAATCTTGATAGAAGCAAATGCCAATCCTCTGAGGAATCTGCTTTGATCTCAGCCTGGAAGAATTCCCACAAATAAGGTTCGGAAAGTTACAAATTCAAAATCAAAAATCTCAAAACTCAGAAATGAGTTACTCAGTTGGAAAAACCAACACCTCAAGACTTAGATATGGGAATTACTATTCTTTTCTCTACCGTTTTAATTATGGGTGATTTATTCACTCCTGTGTTTCAATTGCCTGCATGCAGATGAACCTCAAATCTGTATCTCCAGCAGTTATATATCTCCTGATCTCCAAACATAAATATCTGACATGCCCAACTAAAAATCCCAAATTTATCATGTCCCAAACAGAATTTATTGTCTTTCTATGATATATTTTCTAACGTGACAAAATGGCTTTCATTTTTTTTGTTAGAGTAGCATACTTCTTTTCAAATTTTGATTTCTATTAAGAATGACTGACATCTCTAAATACTCCTGAGCTCTTAAACCACTCAAAGAGATAAGTAACTTACAGGACTCTGTAAGGCAGCAATATGGGTGTGCATGCTCTGCTGAGTCTAACAATCTAGACAGACGTCAGGTGACTGTACCATGGTCTATAATAGGTTCTCTTGTGTGTGAATGAGAGAATATGGTAAGTTAGACTATTTGGCTTTTAAAACTAAGCCATATTCTACAACTTTCTATGACTAGAGGCCTGGTACATGAAAATTCATGCACTGGAGGGGGGGGTTCCGTCAGCCCAGCCTGTCCCCTCTCACAGTCCAGGAGCCTTCAAGGGGAGGGAAGCAACCCAACAATCAGGGGAAGGCAATGCCCCATCACGAACCTCTGCTGCTGTCACTGCCGGCAGCGCAAGCAGCGTAAACCTCGGCAGGCACTGGTAAGCTGAGCCTCAGGCCAGCCCTGGGCGGCTAGGGGACTGGGGGACTCTGGAGGCAGGCATGGGGAGCGGCTGGGCCACGTACCTGCTGCCCTGGCAGGGGTGTGGGGACTGTGTGCCACCAACTTGTGGCTGTGGGTCCAGCCATCTTTAAAGGCGAGGCAGTCAATTAGCATATTCCCTCTTTATTAGATAGGATATCACCCTTATTACCATGTTTTCTGATGGTCTTAGTTGGCCCTGCTAAGCTGTTCTCAACCTATGGGTTGGGACCCACAGGTTGAGAACCGCTGCTGTAGAGCCTAAGACCATCGGAAAACACAGATATTTACATTACGATTCATTAACAGCAGCAAAATTAGTTATGAAGTAGCAATAAAAATAAATTTATGTTTGGGGGTCATCAACAACATGAGGAACTATATTAAAAGGTCAAGGCATTAGAAAGGTTGAGAACCACTGCTCTAAGGGATACATATGTGTGTGGGGGGGGGGGTTGTTTCCCCAAAATAATTTAAAAGTTTACAAAAATCTGCACAGTATTTATAACACCATTATCCATAACAACCAAAAGTAGAAATTAATCAAATATTCATCATTTGATAAATGAATAAACTGTGGCATATCTATACAATATCCATAATATAAAATAGAATACTATTCAGCCATAAAGGAATGAAGCCCAGCCCCGCAGGTGTGGCTCAGTGGTTGAGCATCAACCTATGAACCAGGAGGTCATGGTTCAATTCCCAGTCAGAGCACATGCCCCAGCTGCAAGCTCGATCCCCAGTGTGGGGTGTGCAGGAGACAGTCAATGATTCTCTCTCATCATTGATGTTTCTATCTCTCGCTCCCTCTTCCTTCTTCTCTGACACCAATAAAAAATATGTATTTTTTTAAATGAAGCCCACTTTAACACTGATAAACCTTGAGAGCTTTATGCTAAATGAAAAAAAGTCATACGCAAAAGGCCACATATTCCATTTATTTAAAATATTCAGAATAGGCAAATCCTAGAGATGGAAAATAGATTAGTGGTTGCCAGGAGATGAGGAAAGGGGTATGTGGGATGGTGCGGGAAAGAGTGACTACTAATAGGTTTCCTTTGGACGTGATGAAAATGTTCTGAAATTTGATAGTGGTGATAGCTGTACAACCTTGCAAATAAAAACATTTAACATAAAACTACCAAATGATACACTTTAAAATGGTGAAGTTTATAGTATGTGAATTTTTATCTCAATAAAAAATCAACTGTACAAACAGTAATATTTCATTTATCATCTATTGGTTCTTGTTTTATTGATATTACTCAGTCAACTCAGAATTCAGGCAATAGAAAAGGATCTTTCTTTTAAAAAAAATTTTTTTTTTATTGATCTTTTACAGAGATGAAGGGAAAGAGTTAGAAACATCAGTGAGAGAGAAACATCGACCAGCCACCTCCTGCACACCCCCCACTGGGGATGTGCCTGCAACTAAGGTACATGCCCCCGACCAGAATCGAACCAGGAACCCCACCCCCCAGTCCACAGGCCGACACTCAATCCACTGAGCCAAACCAGCCAAGGAGAAAAGGATCTTTCTTATATATTGAATCCCCCACATCAACATCTTTAGGACACCCAATTAGTTACCATTCGCTACCAACTCTAGTTCCTAACTATTTTTCTAATGTGTCCTAATCTCAATGTCTTAGTTTTTCTATTTTCATTTTAATCTACATTGCTGCTGCTAAATGGTGTCCTAAACCCCAGGCTGGTTAACTAAAAGAACAAACATAATGCCAATCTTCTCTCCCTGCCCAGGCAAATGACTAGCAACATGGAAATCTCACAAGAAAAGGCTAAGGTTCACAATGAAGTCAGAAAAGTCATAGTGTCCTCCAAATTACAAGCTTACATCTCTGGAGCAAACTACAGTTAAACAATTACATTAACTCATTCAATTACATCCATAATTTATACAGTTTAAGCCGGTACCAACAACACCTAGTAGCTTTTTCTCTAAATCCTTTGAATGTGAACATGCAAGGAAGTTTATGTTGATGAGTGACACAACCAGGATGAATAGTAAAACCAGTCATTCATTGATGGGTTTGCTCTAATAGAATTTAATGTATTAAATCCCAGCAACAACAGAATATGAAATTTCTTTTAATATAAGCAGTCTTCGAGTGTATATTAAACTGAGTCACACACTATCACATTTAGGAAGCAGGTATTTAACAGACTAAGTTGTATAAAAATGCATTATTTGGGAGCAGGAGGAAATGGGGCCAAGTATTTTGAAAAAGCTCCCAAGTAATTCTTATGAGCTCTTCCCTCTCCCACCAACAGATACACAATGCTTTATAGTCTACAAAGAACTTAAAGCATTATTACTTGAGTCAAGACCTACCTAGATTAGAATCCCCATTGTGACCATGAGTATATTGTTAATTTATATAAGGCTTAATTTCCTCCTCTATATAAAAGGAAAAATTCATGCTTCACTGTGACAGTAGCTTGAATGAAAACACCAGCCTAATACCAGACAAAAGAAAGAATTAAAAGTTGGTTTAAAGTAAATGCTATAGCACTGGAAATCTAAAGACTGTTCCTTTTTTTTTTTTTTTTTTAAGTTCTGAACTCAGCCCTACATTTCAAAAGACTTAAAAAT